ATCCGAATGGGCTCGCTAAAAGGAGGTGCGTGCTCAGGGTGCTCGGCTGCCGCGACGGCCTTTAAGATCCGACGTCACGTCCAAGTCAAGTAGCGTCAGGAAAAAAAAATAGTAAAAAAATATTGAGAACTTTTTAATCGTCAGAATATGACGAATGAGGAAAAAGAAAAACGCTAGTACCCTCCTTACGCCGCCGATGGCAAAACCAAAAGGGCATAACCCCGCCCGACCCTCAACCCCTCGGTTCCTTCGCACTACTCTGATATCCTGTTTCATCGCCACAAAATCCCGATCATGAATCTCTCTGATGAAGGTCCGACGTTGTAACCAATAGTGCTAGGTCCAAGGTTGAGCCTAGTACTAGCAGACACCTATATAAGCGGATACTGCGCGACGCGCGGATCTATCGAAAAGTTTCAAAAATCGCATTGTTGTCGATGTCGTCCTCCGTACGTACGCACAAGTCATAGACAAGCACACCAATCACGATACATAATATTTTTAATCCTAATTTTAATCAGAAAATAAAAATATTGGTCCGCAACCAACGTCGGCTTCACAGTTTGAAGAATTCACGCGCGCCTTAAGTCTGCGCACGCACACACTCTCTACTCTAGCCTGTCATTCAATCATCATAAACCACAAACACTGCCACGCCTCGCGCGGTATACCTAAACCTTAAACCAAGCTTACTTTCTATCGCTTCAAAAAACAGGGCGGATATCCTTATAAGGGTATTCGCACTGACAATGTAATAAGATAGTTAGGGAAACATTACCATTAATCATCACTTTAGTGGTAGCATTGTGGTGCAAAATTTTCATTTACCTTCTGAAGCAAGAACCAAACTCAAGTTTCTCTAGACACTTATCCAAGAAATATCAATCCACATTATCATATATTTTTTCAAAATCTATAAAAATAATTGTTACATTATACTTAAATTGGCGAAATAGATTAACAAATTTATTGATTAATAAAACGTTGCCTTGAATATTCCTTCCATTTATAAACTGAGTCTGAGCTGGACGAATAATATATGTTATGACCTTAGTTAGTCTATTTGCTAGGATCTTTGTCACTAACTTATAAACCATTGTGAGCAAGGTGATTGAATGGTAATTGCGAATATTAGATTTACTTTCCTTTCTTTACAACAGGGTTAGTACTCCCTGATCCACAATTTTCCCCATTTCACCTGTCATCTATAATGCTTGGTAAAAAAATATAAAATCTTGTGAAAGAAAATTCCAACCAGATTCTCAGAATTTCTTTAAAAAAACATCGATGTCAGGAGTTTTCTCTTCTTCCATTAACATCAAGGTTCTCCAAACTTCTTCTTTTGTCAGGGAAATTTCAAGCATCTCCTGTTGTTCATTCGTTAATTTATTGGTTAAAGGGGATAAGAAATCATTAATTTCATCATTACGTTGACCTTGTGGAATATCTTCGATCTCTGAGGAGAATAATTAAAAAAATAAATCCCTGGCTATCTTGGTACAGACTGTGGTTGACATGACCATAGCATCATCACCACTTTGTGGATCCATTAATGTTTTTAGCACTGTTCTTCAAGTCCGTGCCCTAACCATTGCAAAAAAACGGGCGTTCATTGATCCGTCCATGTGGTGTTTTCTGAGTTTTCCCCTGATCCTGGTACCCTACCAACTGTATTCCATCTGACTTAATAACTTTTGTTCTAATTTTCGGATTTCGCTTACTAAAGTTTCCAGGACTTCTGTGTCTTCTGAATCAGTTTTCTGATGTTAGAGTTATTGAATTTGTTGTAAAATGTTTATTTTTTTTGAATGACGCTCCGCTGCTAGCGCTTTTGAATATTCATTGCATTTATGACCTAAAAAAATTAGGTCGTTGTTGAACCATTTAATGTCATACTGGGAAGGGAGAGCGAGGGAAGATCTCTGCCACTTGTAATGCTCCCTGCATCTCTTCTTACACTAGCATTAGATCAATATGAGACTTAGTGTTTTGGCCCGATCTCTCTTTCCTAAAACAAGAGAAAACCCTATGCGTGGCATTAATCCTCCTATAGGAATAAAAAAGATTCATCATTTGACATAAATTATATATAATTAACTCATTTGTCTCTACATAGTCAGGGCAAGGGGAAGAGAGTCTCTATCTATCCAAATGGCGATCCGGGGCCGCATTGAAATCCACTGCAATAATCATTGGGATGCCAACAGGTAATTGAGGGAGGGAGGAAGCAAAAAGACTTTGACGATTGCCAACCTCGTTTGGTGCATAAACACATAGTATACGAACAAACTTCAACTCAAGCATCACAAGAATATACACACATCTCCTTTACTGTCTCTTATACACATCTAGATGTGTATAAGAGACAGGCAATAATCATTGGGATGCCAACAGGTAATTGAGGGAGGGAGGAAGCAAAAAGACTTTGACGATTGCCAACCTCGTTTGGTGCATAAACACATAGTATACGAACAAACTTCAACTCAAGCATCACAAGAATATACACACATCTCCTTTATGCTTTATCAGCATCCCAGGTTAGAACTTCCACTCTTGAGCCTGGGGGAATCCATATGGCCTAAAGAGAGAACCCGATGTAACAAAAAAACAGGACTTGACTGACAACTTCATGGACGAACAAACGAAACAGGCTATGCAGCCTAGATCGAAATGCTCACCTGCAATGGCAACCCTGACCCACAACAGAGAGACAGTGGGAACACTTGCCACAATCTCATTTTCGGGTGGACCATCAACCGACGAACTTCGTTCTTATGTCCAATGGAAGCTCAGATAATCAGCCCACCTAGCCCCTCCCTGTTGACATGCATAAATCGAGGAATGGTCCAAAATGATTAAGAAAGAAAGAAAAAAAAAGCCTTCATCTTTGTCTTCTCACTTGGTTTTGTCTTATAGATTTTCCTTTGAGGAGCAACAAGGGAAAAAAAAAAAAAAAAGTGAGAAATAAGAGTGTTTTCCCTTTGCAGACAGGGGCTGGCTCTTTTGGTCTCTGGTCAGTTGCTTTTCTCTTTGTACTTCGGCTTCCCAACTCTAGTTAGTTGTTTCTCTCTTTGTAATGTTGCTTTCCTTCCCCTATTCCATTGCCCCAGATTGAATCATTGTTTATGTCTGTGCATCATTTCCAAAAGCAAAAGTTCTACAGTCTCTTTGGTTGTGGTGCTTTTGCTGCCTTGGGGCATCCATGTCATAAAGATCCGGCATTGCGCCGCACAGATAAATTATTTTATGTTCACAACTCCTATTTGTTCCTTTCCAAAAGACCTCTTGTCTCTCCCTTCGTGGTGCTCTTGTTGTTGTCCTAGGGCGTCCGTGTCCCATTTGGCATATACACCTTTTTTTTTCCTTTTTTTTTTCCCTCTGTTCACACTCCATCCAGTGTTGGCGGTGCTGGTGAAAGCAGACACCGCTAGCACCTGGGGAGAGGCTTCATCTATTGGTGGGGAGCGTCACCTGCTGGAAAATAGGTCCAGTGTCCCGTGTACAAAATAATTCAGAAGAAAATAAAAGAAGCAAAAAAAAAAACAGGAAAGTGTCTAGAAAATGTCTGCCATCATTGATAACTCTGGTTTCCAGAGGATTTACTGAGCAGGTTGTTGAATCGGCGTCCCTTGTGAGATACGTAAGTAGAAGTTTGAGGAAGTACATGAGCATGAAACAAACAATGCAACCAATTCTGCTGGAAACTGGACTGGAAAAGCTAGTAGCCCCCAGACCCTTTTCCATCCCTTGGCCTGACCCGGATTTCGGTAGGAGCCACTGGGGGGCGCCAGTGTGGCCCTGCCCATCCCCAAAAGCCACCCATTTTTTGCACTGTCCTCATATGTTGAGAATCGGGCTCAGCGACTGGTCTGGCCTTAACCTCTTGCTATACTCCTACCTGGTATACGAATTACATCACATGAGGATTATCGGGTTTCAGAGGAGGGTTGTCTATTCGTTAGGGTCACCCCTCCGCAGCGTCGAGGCAAGGTGCTTCCAGGGGCCTATACACACTACCTACACATGGCTCACAGAGGCACCGATAGAGGTGGTAGGAGCACCTCTCACTGGTATCCACTCCGCATATGCTCCATGGTTGGGGGCAGCGTCTGCTACGGGTCCACACACATTACAAACATATACACATAGCCTACAGGCACATACCTACAAATACCGAACACACACACATACATAACCATAGGGATGGGTGGGGGAATCGGGGTTGTAGGAATTTGGGTGATGTTGAGGCCGGAGACGTACCAAGGGGTTTCGTAGGAGTTCAAGGCATGGGAATGAGACCGGTTTGATATCAGAGGCTTGGACCAGTTTCGGAGGGTTTTTTGGTCATTTGGGATAAAAACAAGTTGGTTTTTCGTACTGAAATCGGTCTCGGTACGTGTAGGTTGTTTTTAGCATAGTTTTCAGGAGTCTTACGGTGAGTGTGAAGATAAATTTATTTTTCTCTCGAGGCTTGGGCTGGTGATTGAACCCTCTGGAAGAATCCTTTTGTAGTTCGGGTTTGGCAGGTGACTACTTAAACAGTCCTTTGACTAGTTACAATCCTCCTCAACTTGCGATACTATCCTGACCCCTGATGATGACCGGCTGGCGACCAGTCGAAACGCGGCGTAGGGTCGCGTTGCTGGCTCGGATTAACCCGGCTTACAGGAAACTGACGACGGTCAGACTACTGTGAGCTATTTTTTGCACGTTCGCCAGCTTTGTGATGGGTGGTTTATTATTTTAATCCTTTGACCCATCGAGGTTGTGTTCGGGAGAGATACTATGTCATTTGTCATCTCACTTTTCTTCTCTCCATCTTAATCTATCTGCTATGCTTGGTGTCCTGATGCTTGGTGTTTTTGGACTTGGTAACTCACGGGAATTACGGATCTGATAACGTGAGCTGAATTTCGTTTGAGTTTATTGGTGTGTTTCGCATCAATGTACCATTGTTTTGCGCAGTAACGGTTGTAGGAATATGACTGCGGGTAGGGTGGCTACGCTAGTACGACAAAATGGCTGCTCCGTTCGTCCGAAATTGTTACAATTGTGGGATGCCTGGTTACATATCGAGGGAATGCCCTCAGCCTCGAAGGACACCGTTGACTGGTGTGAATGCAACCGTTGTTAATGCTCCTCTCCTCACGCTTCCGGCGACGGCAACTGCGGCAACGGCGTATGTTCCACCTGCGCTGACGATGGCATATGCTCCGCCACCAATGGCTCCGGCATATGCCTCTGAGGCTGCGGGCTACAGTCAGAGAACGGGGTACTGGAGGCAAACTTTGGACAGGTGCGCTGCCTTTGCGGATAATGCCGAAGCTGGGAGAGCAAGGGTGAAGGAGGAAAAAGAGAAAGAAAAGAAGACGAAGGAGGAACAAAAAGAGAGAAAAAAGTTTGAGAGGCGAATTGGGGAGAAGATCGACAGCAAGTTTGCCACGATGTGTGGTGGGGGGCCAGTAGCAACGGTGGTTGGCAAGACTAGTTGTCAATCAAGGGAGGATGATGATTTGTCGAGGCTACGAAGAGAAAATGAGGAATACAGGAAGAAATCGTCGAAAGAGAACGTTACTAGCGAGAATCTGGTGGATAGGCTGTTAAACGAAAACGAGGAACTTCGGAGGAAAATGAGTTCGGCACACGATCCGTTGGAGGACAATATGGGTTGATTAATGAAGGAGATGCAGGAGCTCAAGATGGGGAGAGACGTGGATCATGAAATTTTGTTTGGCCTAAAGTCGGAGATTAGTCTGCTAAGGAAGGAGAAACAACAGTCTATGGAAGAGACGCAAATATGGAGGAACGAGGCTTTGAGACCTGACAATAAGCGTGGAACTATCTCATTGACGACTCTAGAATGCTGCGATCGAGAAAGAACAAGACAACGCGTGGTGGAATCACCGAGCAAGGATTTAAGAGAGGAAATCAAGAAGATGCGGGATACGGAGTATTGCACATTAAGAGGGGTTGAAGCGCTCAAACAGAAGAAAGCGGACGCAAAAGCAAAGGAGATTGAGGTGGAAAGAAGAAAGCGAGAGGCGAAAGTCGAGGTGACTAAGCTGAAAGAGCAGGTGGACAAACTCACAACTGAGGTTGTCGTAGTACCAACTGGAGGTACTAATTTGAAAGAGAAGTTGGAGGAGGTGGCTGCAAGTGGGCAAAAGACAGTGAGACGAGGGAGACCAAGGTTGAAGTCGGGACGAACGCCGAGAAGAGAGAATTGGGCAGAGCATGCTAATGAACACTTCGTTTTTTTGCAGGAAGAACGCAGGAAATTGCGGGCATTGAAGAAATTTGGGTTGGAAGCAATCTGTTTGCAGGAAGGAATTAAATACATCATGATTGAAGCAACGGCGAATGCGTTAGTCGAGATGACGGCTAACACACGATTTGGGAAACAAGGTGATGCGACGGGAGGAAAAGGAAAGGAACCCTTGAGTAGTCGGGAGGTTGAGAAGGACGGTGTGGAGGTCGAGGACGTTCCCTCCGATTTTGCTTGAGGGGGCGTCCCGGACACGGCAAACTGTTGGAAGGAGGTTAACTTATTGAGGTTCTCTTCAACGGAGGAAGTGAGAAGAAGTGTGAGCAAGGGAGTGTATCACCAGAAGGTTTTATCATTAATTTTGCTCGGTGAAATTCCATGGGCAGACAAATTGCGAGATTATTTACAAAAGGTGAAAGAAGAGGGTGTTGATTTGGTCAAATGCAAAGAGCTTATGGTTTATGTATTGGTTTCACCATGGACGAAACATCTGTATGTGGGTGCAACATCTCGATCTCTAGATGTTCGATGGAAGGAGCACGTCTTTCGGATAAAGAACCAACAAGTCGTGGAGTCTGGACGTAGGAATCAAAGGTTGTATAACTGGTTGAGAAGATGTGGGATCGAGCAATATGTTATGCTTCCATTGGCGCGATGCTCGGAGGATGACCTATTTGAGTTGAAGCGGTTCGTGATACGACGTACATGTCCTTATTTGAATACCTGTGAGTCTGTGACCAGTCAAGAAAACATCGAAGAAAAAGGGCTGAGAAGAGAGAATGGAGGGCATGTACGAGGAGGGCAACGATTCAACAGGAGCACGGGGCGGATCGTACTCATTTGACTTTCAGTGCGTCATGTGGCATATCGTCGGTAAGTTTGATCAAAGTTCTCAATTATTGTCGAGCAAATAAGGATAAGTAGGATGAGCATCGATTGTTGTGGTGGTAGTCTGTTAGTGGTCCAATGGAAGTTAGTTAAGAGGTGCTATGGGTATTCGGTTGTAAGTACACCCTATGGCACGGAGCTGTTGAAGAAGTCAAAAGGATGGTTGACTGATGGGATGATAATAGATTTCACTTCTCTTATATCTTTCTGCTCTTCTCTGTCTATTTTCAAACCGGCGTCAGTTAAGCTACTGAGCTATCCTCCGCCAGGGAATGAGATGATGATGTGGGATTTTGAATGTCTCATATGGATGTTTAGTGCGATCAGATCTTTCTCAGAGAAACGAGTTAGATACACTCTGAGGTGCTTGCTCTCCGGGGTATTACAGAGAAGATTTGGGGTCAATGTTCGAATCGGTTGGTCGTAAAGGTGACATTCGATGAGTGTCTGAGCAAGGTTGGGATTCGGTGACTATGTGCAATGATAGTGGAAAGAACGAGTATTGAGGAAGGATGAAAGTGGATATCGGTACGCCGCATGAGGGTGGTGTGGACAAAAAATTTGAGCGTAGGGGATATATTGTATAATTGTCGGAAGGCAACCAAGGAAAAGGAGGTGAAATGTGAATATGGGAGCATGGGGCAGGAATTTCCTCAGCAGGACGAACATATTTGTTTTCGGATGGGTAAGGCGAAATTCATACCGGACTGGCTGAGGAATGCCAAGAATATTCCAAGACCATCGAGGCGGTGCACGTCGTGGTCCCTACGTAGGCAAATTGTAGCACCATTTGAAGGTTTTGCAGAGTCGACCGTGATCTCTCGGGATAACCTGCGCAATGGGATGTCGGGGCCGGTTTGGAATGAATGTTTCAATCACACAGTTCGGGAGGAAAGTGTGGGATGCACTACGAATGAGGTGGGAAGATAGAAGAGTCGGTTTGATAAGTTAGTGTTGTGTCTGATAGACCATAATCCCGGGGACTCGCTGATCTGTTGTTCAAAAGTTTATCATGATGGCATGAGAACGATGTTGAACGATGTTCTTGAAGAATCCAGGTTTTGAGGCGTGTTAGGAGACAGAGGAAGAGGTTAACATTCGGAGTAGCAGGGAATTTGGGGAATTGGGGATCAACAGTTTTGGGAGCTGGAATGAAAAGGGGAAGTTAGGAAGATGCTACATCATACCAAAGCATAAAGATACAAGGAAATGGCGCCCGATTTGCCCAACTTTTGAAGAAGGTGAGGTTGGGGATAGTCGACACGTGTCAAGGGTGGTTAATCGACTGCTTTGGGATTTACCTTCACGGAGCCACTTCAACATGAGGAGTACGAAAAAATTGGTGGCGAGGATTAAGGAAGCAAACAAGGATTTGATAAAGGATGAGGAATTTGTGTCGGTAGCATATGACATCAAGGAGATGTTTTGCAATCTCCCACACTATGCTGTCATGGAAGCGATTAGGTGGGCACTGATTTCTGGGTACTACAGGGTGCGAAGGGGGTGATGCTGAAGAACAAAGGCAAGGAGGCAAAAGTTAGAACGAGAGAGTGTTAGGTGGGTTGGACTAAGATCAGATTCGAGGAGGTCGTGCGCTTTGTGGAATTTGATTTAGGATGCACGTACATGATGGCAAGAGGAAGGATTTTGAAACAAAAAATTGGTATACCAATGGGCAAGGCATCAAGCCCTGCTCTGGCTTGTCTACTCTCTGCACACTCTAAATTCACTTTTTTGAACTTGTTAGGGATGGAACGGTACTTGACGTACGGAGCAAGGATTGTTGACTATATATCCATTTTTGTGTGGTGCAAGAAGGAGGATGTAGTTTCGAAGAAAAAGGCGGAGAAGGTGATTGAGAAATTTGAGGTGTGCTATCATGAGAACCTGACATTGGAAAGAACGGACAAGGGCAATTTTTGGGAGTTTCTCGGTTGTGTTGTCGGGGTCAAGGATTGGTCGGAGGGAATTGTATGTGTGGCAACCCACAAGAATCAGGTTGGAGTGCGGAGCGGTCGATTAACGTTTCAGAACCTGCAGGACCACTGCACCTATTTGAGCCGGCAGCAGAAGCTGACAATGATAAGCTCATTCCTATATATGGCAAAGCGCTACACAACCATGCAAGGTGCAGAGGTCGTGTTTCTGCTTACACTGAAGATAGAGCTACGATTGAGGGGCTTCCCGGATGACTACTTTGATACGGCACTCAGATCGTTCTCTAACAAGTTCGAAGGATTATGAGAAGATTGGGTGTCGTGTCTCACAGGGTGGAACCTTCATCAATGGAGGAGGGCGTGATTTGATGGTTCCTTTTTTTTTTCTGCTCTAGAAGTCTTTCTATCTTTCATCTTCTCTTTCTCGGAAACTTCTGCCTTCTGAGATCTGACTTCTTCTCCCTCTCGACTGTTTCCGTGGGCCTCTTCTGTTCTCTGTGACGTGTACTCTGGCTTTCCGTGTTCCTATCCAGGACTGTTTCTCATCTTCTTTTTTCGTTACTCGGTGTGGTCTTTTTTTTTTCTTGTTTTTGAATCTATGTCGCGGGTAACTTGTGCTTTGATTTCCCTCTGTCTCTTTTGAGGAGCAATGAGGTGGGGGAATCGGGGTTGTAGGAATTTTGGTGATGTTGAGGCCGAAGACGTACCAGGGGGTTCCGTAGGAGTTCAAGGCTTGGAAATGGGTTTGGTTTGATATCAGAGGTTGGGACCGGTTTCAGAGGGTTTTTTTGTCGTTTGGGATAAAAATGAGTTGGTTTTTCGTACTGAAATCGATTAAGGTACGTGCAGGTTGTTTTTAGAATAGTTTTCAGGAGTCTTACGGTCCGTGTGAAGATAAATTTCTTTTTCTCTCGAGGTTTGGGTTGGCGATTGAACCTTTTGGAAAAATCCTTTTCTAGTTCAGGTTTGGTGAGTGACTACTTAAACAATCCTTTGACTAGTTACAATCCTCCTCAACTCACGACACTATCCTGACCCCTGATGATGACCGACTGACGATCGGTCGAAACGCGGCGTAGGGTCGCACTGCTGGCTTGGATTAACGCGGATCAAAAGGGGGGACAACAACCCTCCTACCCCCCGGGTCGCTGTATGAATTCACTGTCTCTTATATGAAACTGATGACGGTCAGACTACTGTGAGTTATTGTTTTAACCCAAACCCACCTACCCCCCGGGTCGCTGTATGAATTCACTGTCTCTGATATGAAACTGACGACGGTCAGACTACTGTGAGTTATTTTTTGCACATTGACCAACTTTGTGATGGGTGGCTTATTGTTTTAATCCTTTGACCCATCGAGGTCGTGTTCGGGAGAGATACTATGTCATTTGTCATCTCACTTTTCTTCTCCCAACCTTCTATCTATTTGCTATGCTTGGTGTCATGATGCTTGGTGTTCTTAGACTTGGTAACTCACGGTAATTACGGATCTGATAACGTGAGCTGAATTTTGTTTGAGTTTATTGGTGTGTTTCGCATCAATTTACCAAAGGGATGGGAGGAGGTCAGGACCAACTAATAATGGGTGTCTCGGTGATAAGAGAGGGCGTGAGTTACTGGTCGGTCTACTTAGGGGCTAATAGGTGATTGCTTGAGCCTTGCGTCCGAAGTTCCCGCACGACGAGGCTCGTTCGATTGTGCTTCCACCAGGGCTGGGTCACTAGCCCTGGTGCTTGTCACTATTGTTTGGTTCAAGTTCCGCTCGATGATAGAGTAATGGTCATGAGTGTTGGTCACACTGAGGTAGAATAGTAGGAATAGGGGGTGCGCTAGGAGTATTAATCCAAGGATGGGATGGGAGGTAGCCTCGTCACTTCAGGCCAACCATGATTGACAACTTCTGGCGATCAATGTGAGCCTAGTAACTTACCTCTACAACACCCTGGACTCAAAAAAAAAAAGAAAAAAAAAAGGGATTGCAGGGAGGTTGCAGGGCGTACCGAACTGCCAGCACACAAAGCCATCTGAGCCGACTGAGAATACCCAACGTCTACCTATTTGTACAATAACCCTACCAATAAACAAGGAAGTTGCTTGTTGAAAATCGTTCGAGTACTGTTTAAGAACATGTTTAGGCAACCTCACACAATGTACCTTGTAGTTCTTTACAATCTGATCTCCAGAGACTGCGGGGGGGGGGAACAGATCAGGGAATTCTTCTGCAGGCCTCAGGGGGAAGCTGGTGTCGAATGCCAGCCATTCCTTAAACTTCATATGGTAATCCTGGGGCACTGGTCTCCTACCCTGTCCGTCCCCCCCTCCTTCCCTTCCATCCCAATCCCCTTACCTACAAACCTTTGCCACCCACCCCTCCCTCTCCCCTCCCAACCATTCTTTAGAGAACTACACTATTTGCTCTGATATATCCTTAGACTTGTGAAGGGTGTCCAATGTCTGTTTGACTGCCACGGATGCATAAATTCTAGTTGGAAGTGGTGTTTGAATTGTTCTATCCATTATAAGACTTCCCCTTCCACCCGAACCTGGTCCACAACGAAAGTGCAGCGTTGCCACCATAAAATCCATAGTAACGTTTTAAAACCCAGGTGGAATATGTTCCAAACGAAAGTGTCCTCTTGGAGGGGCGGGCAGTGACCCATGAGTATGGCATGCCACTCCCACGACCACCTGCAATCTGGAGTTATTTGCTGCCACAGTTTGTCCCACCATCTCCAAGTGAG